GCATTTTTAATAACATATATTAAAAAAAAATAAACACCCAGAGTCAACTTTGCTCCATTTTTAAGAATGAACCAGTTGTTATGTTGAAATTCAAATTTAATATTGCTGGTAAGTAAAACTTGGCATCTTCCTTTGTAAGGACATTTTATATGCATTTTTCGAGCTAACTCATCTTTCATCTGATTATGACATGTCAAAACGTTGTGAGGTATATTTTCTAAACTATCTATTTACATTTTGAGCCATTTCAAGTTATCTTTCCTACTATGATTACTCAAACATTAAAACATTACTAGATCTACAGCTGCTTTGAAAATAACAGTAAGCTGCTAAACTGTTTATCGTGTTTTCAAAATCTTAGTTGTCACTTATGTTATTTTAATGATTTATCGATTTAGGAATATAAAAATGCCTTAATATACTATAAATTAGCACAAGTTATTTACCTAAATTATGATTTTCAGCTATTTTTTAAATCTTTGCTGAAATTACTTATTTTTGTACAATTAGCTTCACGTTTTTAACCTACGCTCGTGAAGCTCAAATCTTACTTAATAAAATACTTGATTTTACACTTATATGATTTTATGTTAACTATTTCAAATGTTTCTCAAAAAGCTGATTAAGATTAATTATCTGTAAGAAAACGTAAATGTTTTAAAGAAAAATAAATTACATTCATTAAACGATGACATTCAGCTGCCACCTTTCATTAGTATTTTACAACGTTTATACATTGTGACTATAATGTTCAGAGAAGACACATTTGGAACTGTAAATGTCGAAAAGTAGGAAATTGTAACCACCTGTAAATGAAAGAAAAGAAAATTGAACCTATTAGAAACGATTATAAGTGCGTTCAGAACAGTATACGTTTAATTTTTGTTACGACAGCCTAACCTAGCTTATATAATGCGTACAGTTTATACAATGTTGCTCACCGTAAGCTGTGATAGACAGTGTTAGGTACTGATAGTGTTGTTTGTGTAAGGAATAAATAGCGTTAGTTGCCGATATCACAGTTTATTTAGTAAGAAAAAGTGTAAGTTTGCGGTAGATAGAGTTTTAGGTACTCGATAGTAAAGCGTGACGATAGGCAACATATTCAGCGAAGGTAAGTGTAATTTGTGATAAAGATATATATATCGCAGATGTTACCAGTCGTTACTACATATACCCCAGGGTTACATGTTTATATTGAAGAATGCAAGACTTGCCTTGTGTACACCTAACGCTATAAGAAGAGCCGTGTTAAAGCTGCAAAAGCGCTACCAATAAACCAAAATCAAGAATAAAAATAAACGATACTTCGAATCTGGCGGTGCTTTGAATACGGCTATGTTAAATACGCTCGAGAAGAATACACCTATGTATGTGAAAGAGCATATATGTATACATATAATAATTTAACACGTGTTATGTTTTCGAGATATTGTGACAAGTTATGTTGGCTACAAACTCTGAAGCAAATTAGCGTTATAAATTTACTAATATTATGAGTCATACTAGCCTACTTTTTAAATCTGACTAGGATGCTGAATTCACGGAAGTCTACCGATTATATATTATATATATATATTATATGCAGTCCAAAATTTGTCTCAAATATATCTCCACTTCAGCTGCTCCTTCGGAATGCTATGATATAGCTAAAGTAATCGTATATATTTTTATAATTACTTTATGTCATAGATTCACTTCAGAAACCAATATAATTAATAATTTTCTTACAAAAATAAAAAATTGATTTTTGTGGAATAATTCAGCAATTTCTTCATAATCAGACCATAAATCCATTACCGGAATCTATTTTTTATAGGAGACTTCATATAGTTTTTCTATTGTTTGATGTATACTTTGTGCTTTCTTGTATTTAAAGACAAATTAATCCATTTATATATATATTCAGATATTTTTACCTATTACTTTCAATTGTTTGCTGAAACCAAGATCTACAGTGAAGTTTTAGGCCTTATTCAGCTAAATTAGGATCCTTCTCTTACTCAAGTTATTTTATGCTTATGTTTTAGACTACCTGGGAAAAACGCATTTTTAAGAGCCTAAACAGCATGTGCAACGAGTTAGGAATTGCACTTTCAAGAAAAGTACGTAAATTTTTTGCTTATTTAATCAGTTTTTACTTGTACTTGGCATTTATATGTATGTGTAGACTACAAGTTTAACCATGTTTTGTTTTTTTCCTTTTGTTTTAGCATTGAAAATTGTGTATGAAATTGTTTACATATTTTCAACAACTGTAATTAACTATTACGATGATAAATTGTATAATTTATGTTTCTGAGAAGACAGACGATCTGAACGTAGTATATAGATATGTATATCTAAAGAAGGAAGAATAAATCTAGATTTCATTACCTGAGCTTTCTGTATGAAATCTAGAGGTTCTCTTATTTGACAACCTCCGTCCATCATTGCAGAATTCTTCAACATGTAATGATAGACTAAGTTTCTAAGTTTTTGCTTGTATCCTTAAATGAGAGAAAGTATGCAAAACTATACAAAATATATGAAAATAGAAACTACTGATTTTTTTTTATTCAAAAAAGAAAACTTTCTCCTTTTTATTTTTTTTGCCTTTGAAGTTTCCAAATGTTTATTATATTCAGAATTAGTTTGAAACGTGTTTTATTCATCAAAGATGATCAAAGCTTCGTCTATTTTTGTGTATTTGTTTTAATGAAAGTACATAAAATATCGAAATCTAGATTAAAATAACCTCATAATAACAAAAACAACTTATAATCAGATCTTACTTAGTTGTTTTCTGGTATTGTCTTGTGTATGGGCAAGCTCTCCTTTATACGGAACCGAATTAACTCAGGGGCTAGAGCCCAGGGCCCCGTAAAAACTATATAGATGATGATTTATTATACATTATATAAAAAGTAACGTGTGACATAGATCGGAAAAGAGCACGGCTGTTTAATCAGTATATTTTATGAAAGCAAGCGACTGCCGAATAAAACACAACCTTGCAGTCACAGGGAACCTTATTTAAAATATCAATGATAACTGCATTTCCAAAGCTGTGTTACTGTAATATACCATTAGTATTTCTAAAGTATAAGTATAATAGTATTCAAAATGTATGCATTAAACAATTATGTCGCCAATTTATATTTTTGTATGGTACAAAACTTTTTTAGTAAATTACTCGGTGCAAGGGATTATGCAATAAAAACTGAAATGAAAACAAACAAACAGCCCCTTCCCAAATAAAAACTGTAGTTAAAGAGCATATACAAAAAATGTAGGGAATGATTTGACGCGATATATCAGTGCTTTAGTTTGTCCATGGAAACGACCCATATTGGTAGGGGGCTGCAAGTGGTGTTGCATTGTAAAGTTATGTTGTTACATTGTAATGTTATATACCTTTTGCACTATATTTTGATGCTTGGAAAATCTATAAATCGCCTCTTATAAAAGCATTTTCAAAGTAAAAAATAATAGCCATTTAATTGTTACGTGCAAGTCAAAAGAACATGCGTTCATGTGATGTAAAAAGTGCCAATTTGAAATCGGAACAGTGTTTGAAATTGGGCAAAGGGTGGTAAGTCAACAAATGAAGACATTGAACATACATAAAGGGGCTTCACGAAACTTAGAAACCTCGGGTACCAATAAAATTTAATCCAGCTCTGTTCATCATTGGCTCTTCTTAAGATCTTAAAGTAACCAGAGAGAATAAATACGTCACACTTACCAAGGACGTGTTCCAATACACTTGATCGTTTCAAATACTTTAAATTACCATGTTCCTTCACACGAGTCAACAGTTTTCTGTATAACCAATATAACATTGCTTACAACAAGGATATGTAAAGTAAATTTATAAACAACATTTGACGATTACAGTGAAGGAATGTGGTCCTTAAATCAGAACAATACTGCAAGCGACAATCAGGTATAAATACATCTCAACTATATTTGATGATACACCCTACAAAGTACGGCTCGTAACTTGGTAGTTTATTGAAATTTTGCTTGTTCAATTAGTAATGTTGCATCCGATCAATCACATATACAGGAAAACCACATTTGCACATGAATTATTTGATGTTTTCAAATATTTTGTGCAAAACCGTGTAATTACTTGAAGTTTTATAAGCAAGATGAATTAAGATCTTAATTAAATTTTCTTTAAGCACTATAGGTATAAAACCTATGAAATTAAGATACAAGTCAGTGAACGCTTTTTATGGTATACTTCATATTTGATGTTACCATTAGTTATAAGTAAATGCATCCAAATAAAGGAAGAACTTAGGATACTGTTGATGTCCAACGGTAAATTTGATACTATTATGTTTATTGTTTAAATACTCAAAAATCTGAGAAACACGATCAGAATTTCCGAAGTTAATTAAAGTATCATCTACATACCTACTATACTCTTAAGGTTTAAAAGAGTGCGGATAGTCTTTTAACCATTGCTCTTCATGATAACAGAGAAAGAGATTGGCTAAAGAAGGAGCCAATCTAGAGCCCATAGCCACTTAAATCAACTTGATAACAGAGATTGCCATTAAAGAGAAAAATAGGTTACTTGGTTTCAAAATTAATCAAGTTGAAAAATATAAATGTATAAATACTCAAATCATCTGAGTTGTAATTAAAAGTCAAATCAGAGCTTCAGTGAAGTTTATTCCAAGGAATATTGGTGTATAAAGAAATATTCAATATGAAAACTAGCACAATAATAACACAATCAAATTTCAATTTTAATAATTCACGCAATAACTCAAATTTATCTTTCAAAGTATATTCAATAGCAGTCAACTAAAAATCAGCCAAAATACGATTTTCAGTTCCAGCATTAAAGACTAGAGGTCGTATTTCAGATAGACTACAAAAAATTCCTGGATGATTACTTGACGGTCTAATTTTTAAATATTGTTTTTCAGTCGAAACATTATCTTATTTTAAGTTCAATAAATTTACTTATAGTGTAGTATCTCTAGTATCATAATGTAATTTCAATGGTTTCAATGAATCACTTGAGTTTAAGTATAGCAGTCTTTCGCTGAAATTAACAAAAGTTGTTTATCACCGAATCTTCCGTAGTTGTAAAGAAGGTTATATTGGGTATACTACAATAAAACTGTTGGCTCGTTTCTAGGAGCTTTGAAATTTAATGCCTTTTAATAGATCAAGTGTACTAGAACACGCCTTGGGTGAGTGTGAAGTAGTTGTCCAATCAAATCGTTTTAAGATCTTTACAAGGGCCAATGATAAACAGAACCTCCGTATAAGTAAGAATGCGATTTTCACATCACATACACATGCAAGAACACACACACACACACATATGTATGAGTTTATGAAAAATAATATTGTTCCAAAGCATTCTTCATATATTTTTTCTTTTCAACATCGACTATGCACATCCTTTGTCAAAACGTTAACTGTAGATATTCAAAGGAACTTGGACATAAATCTTTTTTAATGTTTAACAAGTAAAACAACAACAAAATATAAGCAGTAAGGAAAAACACGTGCGATTCAAAGATAAGTACGTACACAACTTTATGAATAATAAAATTGTGTATCGTAAAACTAATTATAGCATGCAGTCTTTTAGTTATTAGTGTATTTGTTTTCCAGTAAGGAAAAATAAACGATTTATAAACCTGAGTTTTCTAAGACAGCTTTAATCTTTCTTTCGAGTTCTTCCGCTGATACTTTCGGATCCAGAACGAGATTCTGCAAAAATATACATAAACATGTGTGTGTTGAAAGTTGAGTTCGGATATACATAAACATGTGTGTGTGTGTTGAAAGTTGAGTTCGAATATACATAAACATGTGTGTGTGTTGAAAGTTGAGTTCGGATGCAGATTTATAATATAATAAATAAAATAAATAGTATGGTTTTAAGAATTTAAGAAGAATATTAATTGAGATCTATATAAGAAACAGTATTCTGAAAACTTAGCTTACAATAATCTTTACTCTCTAGATAATTGTGTAAGATATATAAAATAATTGAAATAACGTAAAATAAGTACTATAACACATTATTCTATTGTGGACTTAATAATGTTTAATAGATTCTGAATGATAGTATTTACAAATGTTATTAATACTTCTATTCAGTATTTAGTATTACCATTACTGTTAAAGATATTCATTGAAGGCCTTGTTGAATTATTTCTAAAGAAACTGCAACATCACTTCTAAAAACTAACAATACACTGACATACTCTAGTGAATATAAAAAAAAAATGACTCTTACATTAAGATCGGTGACAATTTCTTGATAGAGATTACTTTTTTGAAGCTCTTTTGCTACAGTCTCTGAAGCTTTTATATTCTTGGCGCTTTCCATTGTTTCTATTTTCGTGCTGTCACTCATGAAGACATGGTTTCATAGGATTCGGAAGGGTTTTTTTATATCATGTTGTCCTAAACAAGAAAATGAAAAACGTCGGTAAGAAAATGAGTGTCAGCTTATAAGTATGGAAATGTAAATTTAGCACTAAACGACTCCTCATGTAGAAACCAGCTGTATCACAGGAGGTAGAATAGACTTTCTGCAGTGATGTTACTAGTGGCTGTATATTGGTCTGTCGATTCCTTAATTTTTGCTTTCCCTAGGTACACCACACGATAATTTGATTTTACAGCAGTTTCATTCCTTATTAATCTCGATGAAGACCTTCCATAATTAACACTTTCATTTTATTAGTGCAGAAGAGGTCGATATTTTGCCAGTCAGGTTTCGTTAGGTTTAATAAAGGATATTCTTCTGTGATCTTGTCAACTTCCTCATTTAGCTTTACCCCTGCATGGTCTGGCACATACACCCAAATGATGGTCATATCATGCACCTAATTTGATTTCTGTCATACATCTAGGGACTAACCACTCTGAATTTGCAAATGACTTACTACTTGCGAGTCAGTTGCAAATATTATGCTGACAAGCAGTCTACTTGCGGATCATTGTTTTCAGTAATCCAGAGTCGGGCTTGCTTTATAGTTTCCAATTCTATTCGTGTAATACTAGAACGAATCTTGTATGCTCCACCAGCCTTATATAGAATGCTGTTGCTCCACGAGACAATTAATACTTAATCAGATTACTCGTTATCTTTAGTGTACAAACAATCTGTGGCTATAATGACAAGAAACTATCCACCATAATTTTACATAGATACAGGATTTTTGTGCTTCATTCCTGCAAAATCTGTAACGTTTTTATCTAAGCTGATTTTAATGGATGCAAGTGATGCCACATGAGATTTGGTGGCGACACATGTCTCAGTGGTGGCTATATAACAACTGTTCACCCATGACAATCTGCCGAGGTACTTTTTAGGCAACTATCTCTTTGGTTGGTATATATGTGGTCATTGTAGAACTCGAATGTCTCATTTGAAAAGCGTAATGGCTCAATGACGGAATACATGGTCTTTACATTGAATAATTTTGTTTGTAAACAATGTTGGTGTTTTGCAATACTGCTGAGACTTGTGTAGTGTAATAAGGTTTTGATGGGGTGGCTAAAGTACATCTCATTACTTGTGTTAAATAGGTATTTTGAATCTTATATTAGCTATATAGAATTAATACTGATCATCGACAGATCATAATCCAGGATGGAGTGGATAAAACTTTGGTAGAGCATAAGCAGGTGACATTTTTCAGCTACATTTTGTCCTGCTTCCTGCTGCAATTTTCAGTGCATTGTTGTGGTTTATAGCTGTGTTTGTCATGAAGTTAACGTTACTGGTGAAGTTGAGTTGTCTTTAAAGGTTCCTACTACTTGCTTCATTTTTTTTACCAAAGGGATGGCAGTGCCACGAAGGATGGTGATAGTTTGTCCTCATCAGCATAATTGTTGCTGAGAGTGCAGAACATGATTGTGGCTTTGACAAGATTAATGGCTATTCCTATGTCATTGTACTATTTTCTCACCCTGCTAAGGGATATTTGCATATTTTATTTTATTTTAGCTTTGCTAGAGCTCCTGCTGTACACCAGAATATTTCCAGCAAAGGTTAGCACACAACATCTGGTTGAATTGTCAAGGCGGGCTAGATCTATTGTGTAGACGTTGAATAGAACTAGCAAAAGTAGTCATTGAAGCAGACTAGTGTTGATGGGGATTCAGTCTAAATGCTAGCTTTTATGATTTATGATGTACCTTTTAGTAGGACAGTTATGATCTCTCTCTTACACTTGTTACACTGATGTTTGTTATGAATAATATGCTTATTATTTTTTTCAAGAAGAATGACAGCTGGAATCTATTGTAGGCATCTTTCAGGTCTAAGGCTACTGCCAAGGTGTTCTGACCAAAGTCTTCTCATGTATCAGCTGCAAATTCAGCAGCGTTGACCCAGGTTTTTCTTCCATTGTAATAGCAAGCTAGTAACATTGGCAGTAGTAATTCAGTCTGATAGTCAGGCCTTCTAGAGCGACCCTTCATGGATTTTGGTGAAGATTTGATAAAGGTATCAGTTCCTTTTACTGGAATGCTGCATGTTGACAAGATCTGATGATTCTCCAACATTAACTTCAACAGGTTGGCTTTTGTAACCTTCTCAAAGGTAAATATACTAAGACCATCTGAACCTGGAGTACAATCTTTAGACATAGTTATGGCCTTTTGTCTCTCGTCCGAGTTAAAGATGGCTTCCCTATCTGCGTGTAGGTGTAGCTCAGACAAGGATTGCTGTTGCATGTCACTATGGTCACATTGGTTATTGTATCTACACATAAAGATTTTGACTCTGTCTTCATCTGTACAGAGTAAGGTACGATCATCACTGTAAATGACTGACATCGCCGTATTTCTGGTTCCTGTGCCAGCCATAAGCTCGTGGAAACGTCAGAATGAAATGTTTGTGAGATTTAGCTTGCTGCATAGTTCATTCTATTCTATGTAATGTACTAACGAAGGTGATCGCCTATATATATTCTGCACAATCCTTGCCTCCCTCTTCTCTACACAAATTCAGTCTGGAGTTATTGCAGAGTTTCTAGGCGTTATCAGTACCACTATTCCACCTGTATGGAGTGTTTTTTTGCAGAAGTTACTGATGTGACTTTGCCCTATGATAGAGAAATGTTTCATGATCCGAGCTTTGCCAGAAAGCTTAACATTTGTGTGTGTGTGTGTGTGTGTGTTTCTAGATTGTTTTATACCACTTTGTCTTTCATTGTTCACGCATACCTTACTCATGAAGTGATCAGCGTAGCCTCTATGTCCCCTACGATAGATAGAGATGGCATTCAGGTATAGTTAGCAAACGTAATGTCTATCACCTTAACGTTAAGCGATTCTTGTTGGTTCACCTGACTTAAGCAGCATGAGGTTGGTGGCTGTACTGTAGTCAGCAGAATGTAAAGCTTTGGTTTTATAGTTTTTATTTACACACCAAGTTGGGTGTCAAGCATTGAAGTTTTCTGCCGCTAGGTACACATAATGTGGGTGATTGACAATCACTAAGTGCTTAGTAGCATAAGAAAACCTTTAAAACGGCGACAAGTTCTGTACTTTGAATAAGAGCGTGTGAATCAAGGTAAAACGTTGTAAATTTTTCTTATTACTGGCACTTTCCCATTTTAGGTATTTATATGGATTTTTGATCTGTAATATATTGAATGTCCCTAATAACAAATAATAGAGCTTTGATTTTCATTTAATCTAAAAAGCCATAAATATTTATATTTTGATGCACAACTTTTCGATTACATATATGAGATATCAGGCGTGCACTATCACTACGATTGCACATTTAACAATATAAGATATAATTTTACATGTAAAAAACTGTTTGTATGCTTTATTCTTGAAATTTTATATGTCTGGCATGTGCGTAACAAATTGATAATCATGTCCTTCTTTGAATTTAACAAGAGATTAATGCTCACTGAAGCATCAGATCCATATATTCTTTGATAGATTTCTACAACAGGCAGTTTCCGTCCATTCAACAAAGTTTCTTCGGACCCATATATTTTGAGAAAAAATCAAGTTTTTTTGTTATTGTTATTACATTCCTGGGTCAAAAATGTCATAGCATATTTAAGAATTATAAACTACTCCTTTTTAACTCAAGGAATAACTCATTAGATGGAATAATGATTGTAATCTTGTTAAAGATGTACTTGTTATTATTTTAGCACAAAGCTTCACAATGGGCTATTTGTGTTTTGACCACGGCTTGGAATCGATTCCCGGGTTTTAGCGTTGTAATTTTGTAAACTTACCACTGACCTAGCGATAATATTTGTTTAATTAAAGAATACAATAATTATATTTCATGATGAACAGTCAACCTCAGCCGTTTTGGATTTGTTTGTAATTGAATAAGTTACTTGAAATGTTTTTTCGGTTAATTCATGAAGAAATATATTTTGATTTTTTGATCCGCTTGTAATTTAGACTTTTCTTTTGTTCGTTTTTCACGTTTTAATTTTTTTATGGTTATCGTTAGAGAAAACGTCAGAGTTAGATATTAATAGAATTTAATGATTGTTTCATATACGTTTATTTTCCAGTATGTATTTTGATTTTAAGTTGCGCATGCCTTGGTCTACATAAGACGCCATACGCTTTAAAAATGCAGGTACAACTGCTTCATTTATCGTATAGAAATGAAAATATTAGTATTTATTTTTAATTATCATTTTCAAATTAGATCACGTTCACCAACAGATGACAGCCTTTAAAGAATTATGCCATTCGTCGTAGAGGCTGTGTTTTTTACTGTTACCAATCTAGCGAACTTTTTTATTCTAGCGACCAAAATAAGAGCCCTAGCGACAAATCTAGCGAATTCTATTTACAATTAATCAGGTCTTACTGATAACTTTGAGTTTCGATTAAACTGTTGATATATCTATTCTAGGTCAAATCCACATTTCATTCATTTATTCTAGCGAATTCGTTGAAAAACCTAGCTAATTCTACCATTATAGAAATTTTCTTTTGATTTACAGCTACGATTACAAAATGGTGTCTGATGCAGTATAATTTTAAGACTATTTACCACAAATCTTGCATAAAAAAATCTCTACAAAAGTAGGGTTTTTATCACTTTCTTATCCTCACCTCCTTTAAACGATGGAAACAAAACGTGAACGAAACAATAAAACTCTAGACTCACTTTAATCTTATTTTCTTATTAAATACATGTTTAATAGTTATGTTAAGTAGAGGTTAAAGTATTATTAAAAGTTTATCTATATAAGCTAGATGCATATATAAAATTAGAAATAAGATATAGAATAAATTTGGCATAGGCCTATATATTTTGTTACCTTTGATTCACATTCTGTCGTAGTAAACTTGATGAAGTCTGAAAGTCGTGTTTCATCATACCAACTTCTCAGACATTTAGTATACC